TAACGTGCAAGTGGTTTCCTCCATTTATACAGAAAGATTTTTATTTTTAACATGGAAGATTATTGTACTTATCTGCTCTTAGAAAATATGTACTGTATAAACATATCCTTTATCTTGAACTTCAGAATTTCTGTGCTTCCAAGAAGAGCAAAAACATCTGGTTAAATTACTATGTGTGAGTACAATATGCAGGCAAAATCCTGTATGAATTGCATATAAAATAAACCATGGCTTCAATCCTTTTTGTTTCTCCAAATGTTCAGTGTGACCAGTCTGTTGAAATCATATCTCTGATATATGTCAGCACAATGATAACTGATGTACCGAAATGCTTCTTTTCTGAATAAAATCAAGTTCTGTTCTTGTTCTACAGCTCCCAATGTTTTAAAGTTTAATTCTGTTATGTGTGTTCCCCCCAAAGCCCCCCAACCTGGAATGGTACAAACTGTTGCACACCAGCGGTGATGGCTCCAAGGGACTGGCTGGACGGAGTTGTCATGTGTCTGCCTGTCTACACTTGCTGTGCAGAACATCCTCTCACCTGTACAGCAGGCACAGACAGGCAGTCGCATGACAACCCAGCCTGAGGGACAGCCGCCAGTGGGAAACCGCTCTGACACACCAGAGCATCTTCACCAACAGCTCCAGCCAAGAGTCACTCTGGATCTCAGACGGCCGGTCAGTAACCAAGCCGCGTACTGCAACCCACCTAGAGTCAAACCAACACTGCCTATAAAATACAATAAAACCCACTGCTGAAATTTTTACTGTGCTTTCTATAGTACTCTTTTCCTAATTGTTCTCATTAACTCATTAACAATAAGTTTTATTTATACGCAGCTTTGCGGCACCATTGTATGTTTCGTCCTCCCAATTACTTCTCAGGCATAACTCGAGCAACTCGCCTTATTAGATTACTGTCAGTATAAAAATCAGTAACATCCCTGCTAGCCACAGAAGCTGAGAGCAGCTTGTTGTGTAGCAAGTTAATACTATAAACAGACACAATGTTAAACCTTAGAGTAACTTCTCCCTTTTCCACTCTCTCAGCTCCTCACTTATTTTTGTATCTCCCTCCCAAATCACATAGAATTTTACAATTGGGAATAAACTGTGCAATTATAATACAAACTGCAACACTGGATATTGCTAATACTGTCCTCTCCTATTGAAACAGAATGGAAATATTTTATTGGGAAACAAGACTGAAGTGGATTTTTTCAATAAATGTAATTTTCACAGTTTTAGAAGTTCTTCTCCTAGAGCCCAGCTTGGCATCCTTTGCACACCAATAATGCCAGTGAAATCTCTGGACGCTTTATAAAGAATAATTAAATCACATTCTCTGACCATGCCCTGTAAAAATGCTACACCATTTTACAAATCGCATCCTTCTGTTTACAGCAAAGAGCGTTTTGATTCACAAGCTAAAACGTGTTCCATATTCCCAAAGTCCCTTTTATCCTAATGTAGAAGTCACTAACTCACAAACTTCAAATTTGCAGGTTGACTCTCAAATGAACCTTAGCACAAAAGCTTATAGCTTTTCATGATACATAACAAAGCAGTAGCAACCAAGAGCTAAAATGCTCAGATTTAAATTTTTTTTTGTGGGGGGTATGCCTTATAATACTTTGTCTAGTATTATATGGAATACTCTACAAAAGAAAACTATTACTTGTGAGGTCAATGAATGTGCTAATCTTGCACTTACCTAGAACAGCCTCAAAGTGGTACACAGTATTTTACTTGCTTGATTTTAAGCAAGTGGAAAAGCACAAAGTTGTGGCACTGGTCACGCAACAAAGTTGTGAACACAAGCAACTGTATGCAGGATCAGAAACTAATTCAGATTAGTATTTACGTAACTAATAGTAAATACTGCTTTACCCACACTGATCAAACATCAACTTGATATTTCCACAATTACTAGCCTAAAAAACATTCTTAGGCACCGATTCCCAATTCATCAAGCAATAAAATCCTATTTTATCTTTAAGCAGCAACAAAACCATGTCAAGAAACCAATCGTTTCTTTTGTGATACTAATATCATACAACAAATTTTGAAATCTTTTGCCAAAGTAACTTGCTTCAAAATGCATTCCACTGTGGACTCTTCACTATAAAAGCTGCAACTTACAAATATAGGAAATAATTTACGTCCTTCAAATGGCACTAGCAAGCAACCACTTGCATTCAGAGAGTGATTTTCTTCTCAGAGTACATTCCAGACTACAGCAAACGGGCTCAGCTTACACTAGAGGGGGGTACACAGCCTTAGAGGTCCCAGCAAGCACTCTGGCTTTGTAAAGTACATTGCCAGACCCCTCTGGTACAGAAGCTGCTACAACATTTCTTACTCAGGCATACAAGCGCAGGGGGAAAGAACTCATCACCGTGGCAGGAAAACAAGTGTGAGACCTGGCTTTCTGCATCTTCTCCAGATGCGATGGAGATGCTCTTGCTACTGTGCAAGGATGGCAGGAGAGACTGGCGCAAGTGGGAGGCACAAGGGATCTGAACTCCCCACGACCTCACAGCGTGCACAGCCGAACTGAGCTCAGGCACAGTCCAGACACATAAACACGGGTATCACTTCACACATCACTGAAGACTACATATCTTACCAGGGTAGAAACACAACAGCATGCAGCCCTTTCAATAATCATCTGAGAACAGGATGTGACAACTACCAAAGCAAGCTGAAAGTGAGGAGAACATTTTAAGGAGATAAAATATAATTACAAAAATTGGAATTCAGCCAGGAAATAAAATATTTGCTTCTTTATTTTCAGAAGCCAGTAGTTCTGTTTCTGAAACAAGCCACTGGTCTTTTGATTAGCCTAATGGTCAAGCTGTGGCTTTGACCACCTTCAGAAAGTACCTAAAACAGAGCTCGCTAGTTTTTTAAGTCCTACTGAGAAAGACCCAGGGAAAAAAACAAAACAAAACAAAACAAACAAAAAACAACATAACTTTGTGAACTCTTTCACAAGACAGAATAATCAAATTATACAGCAAATCTGTACTTAAGAAGGAAATCTTTCCATCAGCAAAGCATGGAATACTACGCTATTATCTTCCCTTACCACTCTAAGAAATTCCTGAGTGGTCTCCAGTGTTGGCCTAAATGAACTACTAGTGTTTTCATGACTCTCAAAACACATTTGTTTGGCAATTAAGAGACATTATTTTAAAATATGCATATGGAAATCAGACCATGGCCAATTCCCTCCATGTACTATTCTGAGATTCCCAGGTGACACTCTCTAGCACACTATCAAAACAACTTATTTTTAAAGTTGCATAGTAGAAGACCTTCTGTAAATATTTTCAGGAATTTTTGTATTGCACACCTGAAGATCAGACTCAAAAAAGCAACACCAAAACTACTTCAAAAACTGTCACGGCATACCTTAGATGCACCTCCAAGTGCTTGAGGTGGAACACAGCAAGGAGTGTTAATCTTGCCACATCACGTATTTTCGTTAGAGTTACTAGTACCTGATCCAAGACAAGTTCTAGTAGCTTCAGGATTTATCACAAAAACCAACCAACAGCTTCAAATTTTCAAACTCATAAAGGCATCTTTGCATTTCTTTTTAACTCAATTTTATGTCATTGCAATAAAATACTTCAAATTATATTTCAGTAATCTGAGAATAAAACTTCCCCTCTTGACACTTAGCACTTGGCTCCTCCACTCTGGCTGACAGGCACTCATTTTCCTGTTACAGTAAATACATTTGAATCCCTTTAAACCTTAAATAAAGGGGCAAGGGGCAAAATCTTGAAGATTAACCTAATTTGTACCTCAGTCTTAAGCTCTATCCCAAAATGGCTACTGACTCAGGGAAAAAAAATCACTACTGACCAGCGGAGTTTCCACCACCAGCAGTTACTGAAGTAACTACCTATGATAAGTACCACATGCTGGATTCGCAGGACTCAGCAGAGCTCAAGCCTACGTACGTGCATTGCAGTACCTCTCCCCAGTGGTTCTAGAAAATTGACTGCAGTAAAACACTAAGTTAGGTTAAACAGAATACGAATCGTCTGCACAGTCCCCATCAACCAACTCCCAGTTTCGTTGAGGTAAGCCAGTTTTTTATTATTACTTAGAATAAGATGGAAAGACTGGGTGATGTTTCAGCATTCACTTAAAACTCTCTCTTTACCTGTGCCTCTTCCATTCAATGAACTGATTCACCCTAAAAATCACTAAATTTTTGCTGAAAACATTTAACTTAAAAAAAAAAAATCTGAAAATAATAGGAACTTTTTTTTTTAATGTAGCCCCATTTTTCTACGAAAAGCAACAGAAACCTTAAAAAAAACACAAGGGCTTTACAGTAAAGCTGATAGTGGACATAATCTTATTTTAACCTTCAAAAATTAACAAGACTGCTGAGTTTTGGATAGAGTGTATCATTACCAACATTGTTGAAAAAATAATCAAACAGAACAGACAATCTGCCTAACGACACATTCAATAAAGTGAGCAACCTGGATGTCCCGTGTATCACAGAAACGCTTTTTCCAGTTCTCATATTACTCACCTCAGATTTAATGATCAGCAGTAGCATTTCGTAACAAGGTGCATTTTTTGTCAAATTTGAAAATCCATACCAACCTGGCTATGGAACGCTGCAGACAGCCTTTTCATCCTCTCAGAATATGAGGCCATAGAACAGTTGTTATCATTAAATCAACTGCTGTAGTTACTTTTAGAAGTAACTTTACATAGACAATTTACGATCAACTAACAGTAGATGTGCAAAAGCAGTGCAAACAGGCATAGGACAATAACCAGAACATTTCAAAAATGAAACAAAAGAAACAAACAAACAAAACCACCCCACACAACACCCTGTATTTATGTTATCAAAATTTCAATAGAATGAGGGTCAGAATTCTCCATTAATCAAAACCAGAAAATGTAAAGAACACAGGTAAAACCTTAAAACATTCTTTCAGTTCAAGTCTGTACAAGTCAATTTAATATTTTAAGCTGATATCAGAGGACTGAATAAATACCACTTTTTTTCCCCAAGCAGAAAAAAGTTCTTTATTCCTTACCTCATCATCTTTATACCAGGACAAGCTTTCTGCAGTTAGAACGAACCAGTATTCCTTGGATCCTCCTTTCATGATGCCAATGTTGTTGATGGTCAGCCAGCCTTTCCGGATGACCTGTGCAGAGGTGCAGTCAAGCACAAGTTTAGTTCAGTACTCACTTGATGTAACTCTGCTGCTGCATTCATTCCTTTAAATAAAAACTTGCTAAATAAAACAAGAACAGGTGCATTTTTTCAGTCTCTGGCCAATTCAAGAGTTCCTATCATTCAAGGAAAAAAATGTAAGAAAGTGAATATAGTGTTTTCAGTCAAAAGGTTCAAGAAAGAGAGAAGCCTAAGTGTTATCATGTTATACTTACGGCAAGTATGAGTGCATTGAGAATCATGTAAACCTGAAGACATTTATTTGCTTTACAATAACACATTGTAAAAGTCCATACAACTTTATATATGACTACTCTTGTTTTAGTCTAATTGTTAAAGTAATTTGTAAAACTGGATACTAGGAAAAGCACCTAAATTCTGGCAAAGCGAGTGGCTTCTGGCACACACTGGAAATTTTCAGAAGGGCTTGAATCAAGTGACAAAGTGGAGAGGCCTTCTACAGTTAAACCGAAATTAAGATAGGAAGCGGTAAGTAGAGGTATAGAGGGCTATTTTCCTCTCATAAAGCAGAAGAGGAAAAGAGGAAAACTAACATGGCAATAAAAATCAGGGGAAAAAATGGGCAAAGCAGAACTTTATAAAACAGATAGAAGCCAAAGATGAAAGAACAGATGGGAATAGCATACCTATAAATACTAACGCTAGGAGGCTACATCATGCAAAGAGAAAGAGGGAGAAAAGAAAACTTAAAAGGAATGAGAACTCCAGAGGTGAAGAAGAGAGAATGGTCAAGAGAACTGGTTTATGGATCATACAGAAACTTTCAATTTTACTGGAACATTTATTGTTTTCCAATACATGTATGAGAAAGCAAATGTGCCTTGCTATCATACTCTGAACAAGACAACAGAACTCTCCCCATCACATAAACGCAGGGAACCTCGGCCATTCTGTTTCTCCCCACAGTGACATCCTTTACTCGCCTATGAAGTATTGAGATGGAAAGAAGAAGGGCCCAGAGAAGCCCTTCAGAATTCCGTCAACAAGTGCCACAAGCATGGACTTGTGTGATCAAACATGAGTTTCCTCTTGCTTCCACAGAAATATAGGAGACTGTGATTCCTCTCATAGGGCTCTAACAAGACTAGTAACTCCAATATCAACAGATAGCCAGAGAAAAACATTGCTGAATATCTATTCCTTGTCATATATAGAAGTTTCAGAATTGGAATTCACTCTGATTCAGCATGCATGTTCATGTAAGCTCCCTGAAAAAACAGCTTTGGTATTGCACAGAGCAAGGGACTAAATTATACTTGATAAGTAAACCAAAGAAAGAGATCAGAAGGTTGCACCTGAAAAGCTGGTAAGAGTATTGGTAATGCACATAATCCAAGAGTATCAATTTAATTTCAAATAAGATGATCATGTTTTCCCACTCCTACCACCCAGGCCAGCAGTGTAAGAAAACTACTGAACATTCAAAAACAGTCTATGGGCTTTCAGCCTGTAAGAAAATAGCTAAGAAAGCGTTGATTTGGTTGTGAAGAGTCAGTAAGCTATGAGAGAACTAGACATGACTTCCATAGAGAGACTCAAGGGTATAGCACAAGCAGACTAGATGGAATAGCCTGTACCACAAAGGTTTCTGCAGAAGTTTGTCATTATTTTTAATATTCACGTTCATTGTGGGGAAAAAAAATAAATAAGTGGAGAGGGGGCAATACCGAGTACAATCAGACATGGAATGCTTGTCCAAGTGCAGACTAAGGGAAACATACTGATACGAACCATCCATCAGATCCTCATTTTATTTTACGATGTTTATTGAAGTAAACATTTAACAGAAAACAAGAAACATGGATACACAGCCAGTGTACTGGCCTTCAGGCAGCTGCAACAGAACAAATTGTGGAACCAAGCTAATTTCATTTTTTTTCTGCACTGAACTACACAAATACAAACAGAAGAAATTTTAGGAAAAATCCAGGAAATTAAGATTCCCCAACCACTTCAACTTAGCTCTGCAACAAGGTGAGCTATATTTGTACAGCAGACTAAGTACTTCACAGCCAATGTGCAAAGGTGGTTATTCCCGTGTTATAAAGAAATTGAAATAAGAGACTATGAGAGAGGATACTGTTGAACCATGCTGTCTGCAACTGAAAACGCTGCGTTGCTCGCTCTAAAGCACATATCCACATCCAGGAAGCACAGGCAGCCAGGCCAGCAAGATAATAAAATTGGTCTGGACACACATCTTAGAAAGGGTAAAAGATTTGAGGACAGATGTCACAGTGGGGATAAAGAGGTGGTTTCTAGAAGCAAATCAGTATGAAACACCCAAGTAGCATGTTCAAGAACCTGACAGGTGATGAGCCCTCAAAAGGGAAGGGAAGCAGCACTCTCTGCTTATTCCATTCAGTCCTTTCCCTCATTGTTACCATAGGCTTTGTAGCATGTTCGTGTCAAATTATCTCAATTTGACAGGAATGCATCTGTGGTAGAGGTCTCAGAACAGACCAAGCCAAGATTTTAAAATCTAAACTATACAAGCCATTTAAGAAGTAATGAAGCTTTTAATACTTCTAATGTAGGAACTACATTAGCTGCATAGCCCAAAAGACTGTCTTGTTCCAGTCCAACACATCTCCCCATAGATGCATAACTATTGCTGGGTGTGGACAGAAACAAGCTGACTTGCTAATACAAACATTGGGCACTGTCTTGTAAAGGAAGGAATTTGCCAGTTGTTTCCTCAAAAATCCTGTGTGCTGAGGATGCAATCCAGCTGTCATTACCACACAACACTGCATGAAGAACAGGGCACCAAGCTATAGCAGTATCTTGGGTACGTTTTTTTCATGTGCAAATTTCTAGACCTATTTAACCACACCCCTCTAGGAAAATGGGGTACTGTGTTCCCTAAAATATCCTGGACACTACAACAGATCATAATTATCCAAAACACTTGGAAGCAGTTCCAGAGGACATCAAGAGAGAGAAGATGAGCTTAGTGTGCTAAGCCTCACATTCTTTTCACTGAATTGTTCCCGTTTCTCAGGCACATTTTGTCAACTACAAAAAGCTACATTTTCAAAATACCCAGTACCAGTGTTTGGGTCGGGGGAGAGGGAGATGCCAGATCAAGGTGTAAGCGCAAAACAAAGTGAGATTAAGCAACATAGCTTTACTTTCCAGAGAAGCTGAATTACACTTTCGACTCCAGCCATTTTCTCAAAAAATAACTCAAGCTATATTTTAGAAATAAGTGCCCTTCCATGTGCAAAAAGCAGCAAAGATTTTCAAAGAGCCTTTTCTAATTAAAAAAAAAACTCTGAGGGGGGGGGCATTGTTGTTTTATTTTTAAACTATTGTGTTAGCTATGTTGTATAGTACTTCAGCTTGAAAAATGAAAGTAGTGTGTTTCACTATTGTTTTCACTAGTTCATTTTCTGGTTGGTTTGGATTTAAGAGATCCATTCAGTATCATCTCTCATATTTCTAAATGTCACTCTGTGGAAACCGGACATTAGTGACATGAGTTATGAACTTCAGGAAGGTGAAAAATATGGACATTGCCAGAAGCTAGCGAAGACAATATTCTGACCGGTAGTTGGGCTCCATTGTACAGGATGAACAAGAGATGACAGAGTTCCTTCCTTCAGGGTCCTGATACCTAATCTGGGTGTCTGAAAAATGAAACTTAGAGGGTACAAATGCACATGAACAAGCCAGAAGGAAGTCATTTTCTGATAGTTCAGCTGCACAAAACCCAAATCATACGTTGTTCTTATTCTCCACTTCACAGATAAACAGGAAAGCAGGACTTGAGACAATAAGTACAATTTATGTACTGCTGCATGACTTGCTCATTCCATTAAATCAGATAAGGTATTTGTAAAACAAACACATTAGAGAATCAGGTGGTGTCCCCTTTCTTTAAAAGAAGTATTTGAAAGATAACTTCAAGATAAATGAGAGATAAGTGAAATTGACTGGGCAGACAGAAATACAAGTGTGAAAATCATGAGACTGGCTACTTCCACAATACAGGCAGCACCATTTGTTGAGCTAACATAACTCTTTATTAAAGCTGTGTTACGTAAGTCCATTGAAACAAGAACTCCTAGCACTACTCTATCTTCTAATCAATATCATAACAACATGTGTTACCAAATAGCAAGCAGACTGAGAGAATGAAAATTGGAAAAACTACTCTGTGAGGCATCCTTACAATCTATTGGGTTCAAATATGAAGATTCTCACACTACAGCAGCTAAAAAGGAAAACCAGATTAGAGGGGAAAGCTAATATAGTAGTTCACTGTAGTTTGCCAAATGTCAGAGCATAAACTGATCATATCTGTTCTGATACTGAACACAACCAAGATCTTGTGTCATTGCTTCCCCAAAAATCACTGCATAGTACATCGTATAACTAACAAATAATGACAGTGGCTTAAGTCCTAAACATAGCTACCTTAAAAAAAAATTTAGTCTTTACTGAAGCAAAGCACTCTGCAGTGAAAAACTGAAACATGCTTCCAAACATAGTCAAACAGAGGCTGAGGTGATTAAGTCAATCATGAAGGAATCTTAACCTAAAAAATAAGTACAGTTAAAGGCCATTTAGAACAGCCATGCTTCTCTAGTTTTCAGAAGGTGAAAATTCAACAACAGCATGTCTCATTCAAGGATATTTCAAAATTTAGCATCATGTGGTTGTCCACGAGCACCACCTCTTTCACAGAAACACTGGCATTTCTTAACAGAACAGCCTTGTCATGATTTTCTGTAACCACCTCACTGACCATAGCACAAGTTTCCATTTCCATCTACTTGCCTAAAAGAATTCTGTAAACACCTTTTTTCCTGAGTCATGCAAGGTAACAGGATTTAAGTATATCTGAAGAAAACCAGCAAATAAGTATGCTACAAAGCAGGATTAAAAAGAAAAAGTGGATTACAAGGGGAAAAGTTACTTATTAGCACTATAGCTCAGGCCAACTGATGGGGTCTGAATGCTACGTGTGTCCAGGGCAAGTGAGTCAGATTGGTGATGTAACATGTAAACAAAGCCTGCAAACCCAAACCCCCAGATCACTTGGACAGTGACTTGAAACTCACAGTTCAGATTAAGCCCCTTCTCCAATTACAGGGGCTACTTCAAGCACAGCAGCAGATTTTGCCACAGAAGTAAAACACAAAACAGAATTTCATATAAATTATATCTAGTCCTCTATAATTTGAGTATCTTGCATTCTTACACACAGAGTATCAACTGGGCACATGGAGCAATGACACCTTCATCTTCAAAGGTTTATCATGAAGGGGAGCTTTAAACACTAAATTTTAGTCACCAAAACAAATCTCAACACACAAAATACACAGTTAAAGGTGAGTCAGCTTTCAGGAACCAGATCTTGCTAACATGCTGTGTAAAACCAAGCATTACACTGATTATTTCAAGCAAATTAGAAGACAGACTAACCTGTGGCTTAAAAAGAAACTTTGTGGAGTCAGGTCAAAACCTCAGGCGGTAGCAAAGAAAAGACAAACAAAAAAGGCCAAAGATTAAGCATGAGAGGATAAATTAGTGGCAGAGGAAAAAGGAGCAAAAACATGTTAAGAGGAATTGGCATTACACTTCTTCCAAAAAATGCAATACTGCTGCGCTCATCTTATTTCTGAGATACATATAAACAGTTAATAGTTATCTGCTTCATTCCAGTTCAAAGCAAGTTACATGGAAGAAAAGCAATGGATTGCAAATAAGCATCCCACTATTTTGGGAGAATGTAATGATCTTGATCTCTCAAGAAATTCCATTCAGCTGCTGTTAGAATCAGTGCTGCCTAGTCCTTTTTTCTTTATGGAACATTTATTTAGTTTAAGTTTGTTTGAAACTGTAACTAATATAATTTGATGATGTGGCAATAAACTGGAAAAATGTGGTTTTATCATAGACATTACCAAAGAACGCACATGACAGAGATTTTCTTCTCACACCTAACCATCACTGAACCAGGAGTAACTTGTTATAAAATTAACTGCTGTTTAGACAATTAATTCTTATTAGTAATATTAAAGGCATTCACATATTTATTTACTCATGAGGTGGAAGGGTTAGAAAAGAGTATGTCCATGGTATATTGATCCTCCTGGTGCTATGAAAAGAATGCTAAAAAGGCTTTTAATATTTCTAAGTATATTAATAAAACCCACTTTTTCTATCAATCAGAAGTAACTCCTTTACACAAACAAAATACCAAGAACAGTACCTGTACACATAAACAACATGTTCATTTATGCAAGAGCTAATGTTTCCTTTTGGTTACCAGAAACTTATTTGCTCACCTTTCAAAAAGAGGTTTGCTATGAACAGAGGCACTTACATCAGATAAAAACTGCTTTCCAGTTATATAACAAAATAAACATCAATTAGTCATTTTAGTTCGAGAAATTCAGTACATTATAAAAAATATTAACTTTATTCAAAGTTTTCTACAACATTTTAAGTTATACTAGTTCATACTTGTAACAGCGGGTTAGTAGCAGTTAAGTGATGAACTGCAATTATACTTTGTTTAGGAAGTGTTACAGACAAGACAGTTTAACATTAAATAGTTTAGTAGCAAGTATTCAACAAACCAGTGAGTTAGAGACAAACTTTGCCCTCTGAGAAGCTAAATGAAAAAGCAACAATAAAGCTTACAGAACTTAGCTCGTACAATTTGCCTTGAAGGCGGTAGATTGGTTCCCTGAAATAGCAAATTGCAAAAATGAAGTTTTATTTCAGAAACATTTTCTCATTTTTTTTCAACTCCAAACAATTAACTTACAAACATCTGCTTATCATCTTTAAAATAAAAGGTTCAGCAAAGTCCTTTATACCAAAAGTAATCAAGTTTCAATATTTAATTTAAAACACCAAGCTTTTTCTCTACTTCGTTAAAGAGAGAACATTCACTTAATCAAAAAATCACTCATTTTATTCATGTATTTTTGAAGAGTCAGATAATTGGTCAATTTTCCTTTTACGGGACACTCCAAAGTGATGACAGTTATTGTGTTTGACACATGTGCCAGCACAGCTAGATAAGAAGGAAATCTCTCCTCAGAGGGGAGAGGCTAGTCTTTGAAGCTATTTCAGTGTTTAGACCTTTCAACTTTTTTTCATTTTAGTCCAAACAATATATTACAACAAAAATGCCACTCATGCTGGTCAGGCTGTGGGGGACCATCACATCCAAGAAGTTAATGGATTATTTTAACTAACATCTCTAAAATAACTAGCAATTTCTTGGTGGGAGGAAGAGGCTGGATTTCGATCCTCAAGAACATGACTAAGTTTTCAAAAAATACTAGAACTCTCATCTACAATAGCAGAATAGGAGATTTTCTGAAATGTTAGGTTTATCACTTGAAGAATCTAAATTGAGTGGTCACAGTTGAAAACCTTGACCTTCCACCTCCTGAGCATTATCTGACCAAATGGCACATGAAAACATCAGGAAGATGTTCAATACTGGCAATTATTTACAGAAAATTTTGTTGTCTTATTTTTACTAGAATTTTTTATTTCCCTTTAAAGTATGTACTATTTCCACAACATTTTCTTTCTGTTTAAGACTTTGCAAAACCCTCACAGTGAGCAGAAACCCTCAACGTTGTAGCTGTTTTCATTACTTTCATCTCATACAAAAAAAAGAGGACTGATCCTGTGAAGTACTGAGCACCTCTGGCCCACACAAAAGCAAAGAAAGAAGCAAAGCTCAGGAGCACTTAGCATCTTGCAGAATCAATCCCATACTCTTATGTGAGAAAAAGAAACAGAAAAGTAATTTCATTAATGAATCTCAGTGAAAATGATAATTAATCTGAGACCATCAACCAGTTACTCTCTGTTTACTTTGAGAGAGGCCTATGGTACATAGTCAACATCTTTGTTAAGTCAGCTGAAAGTTTTCAGAAGAGGTAAAGGCAAATCCGCTTTTGCTTGCTGATTTGCCCCTTCACTGCATTTAAGCTGTGAATACAAAAAGAACTAGTAAAATGACTATGACAAAGCACACACAAGCAAGTACTCACCAGCATTTTGGATTCTGAAATTCACAAGTTTGCAGTTAATGACAAAATACATTGATGTATAACATGAAAGACTCAATGCACTAACCAGCATGGGTGGGGAGACACTAACCAGCAGTGCAAGCAGTAGCAGAAATATTAAACAATAAATGATGATAACAATGAAAGTCAGGTGGCTCTGAAAAATTCAGTAAAACAAGGTGGTGATGACGCATTTTATATACGTTTGAAGCAGAAAAGGTAAATGATACACTTACAACAAATAAACGCAGCCAAGAAAACCAAACAGCTTGGATTAACTTGCACATGCCATTATCCATTCTCTGTTAGGTGCCTACCTGATTTCCCACTGCACTTTTGTTAACCTGACTGCTTCTTTGTTGGGCACTAAGGGAAGCAGAGGAAAAGAGTTACACTGAAGAAACCCGAACTAAGCCAGTTCCTGAGGAATAGATTTTAGCAGTAACAGTTACTTCTGATTCCACCACAGAAAGCTAGAGTAACAAAGAAACACAGCAAAATCATTGTATA